AAAGTGTTGGTAGATATTAAGTTGACAGTCTACTAATACTTTAATGTTGACATGTAGTTGAAAAGTTACTTATTGTTAGTAGAATGTCTAAAGTGGACTATCGAAAAAAAGTGTTACTAAATACTGTAAATAGTGTCACCGACATTTCTGTTGAGGAATAATAAAGATGATATTGAAGATGTCTCTATTGAAGATGAAAACCTTAAATAAAGAATGAAATGCATATTTTTTTTGCTTTTAAATCATTGCTTTATCCAATCAATCCAATGTTTCTTTCTGCTTTACACAGATGCGTTTGCCTGTGTCTTTCTCTCTGCTGAGCGTGTGGCTCGGGTTGTTGTGTGTGATACTCGTGTTTCTGTGGAGTGGAACCTGGAGAGGAGGGTTCGCTTGGGATGGTTCATTTCTGCAGTTTAACTGGCACCCGGTCTTCATGGTGACGAGTCTTGTGGTGTTATATGGAAATGGTGAGAAGAAACCGCTCTCTTTCTGTCTCACGTAAACACTTTTTCTATTGCTCTCTTGTTTTAACTGCAGACATCTTCACTTTCCTTTTCTGGTTTGGTCTTGCTCCATAGATAATCCCATAAGAAAAAAATCAATAATAATTTCTGTTTAATAAAGCAATTGTTTTTCCAAGATGACAATAAGATTAAATCGAGCAAATCAAGATTTGGTTTAAAGAGATTTAGGTTGATTTCTAACATTATTCTCTCAACAGACATTACATCGAAAGTCTGGTGCTATAATTTATTTGCTACTGGTGTACTGTGGAGTGGGTAAAACTGTTTTTAATGGCAAGCTAGCAGTTACCATTGACTCGCACTAGCCTAGCACCGGCGAATGCAACTGCACGACTGGATGAACATTTTTGAAAACTGTCTCCACTGATAAATAACACAAAGGCTAACTTGCAAATGAGACCCGATGTCCAAAATTCTGAACCACCCCTTTAAAGGAGTAGGTCACTTTAAAAAAAAACTTTTGCTGGTAATTTACTCACCCCCATGTCATCCAAGATGTCCATGTCTTTCTTTCGTCAGTCGAAAAGAAATTAAGGTTTTTGATGAAAACGTTCTAGGATTTTTTCCATGTGGACTTCACCAAACAGTTCAAGGTCCAAATGAGAGTTTCAGTGCAGCTTCAAAGGGCTTTAAATGACACCAGACGATGAATAAGGGTCTCATCTAGCGAAACAATCTCTCATTTAAAAAAATAAATAAAAAAGTTTAAGTTTTATAAGCACAAATGCTCGCCTTGCTCTGTTCTGTGATGAGCGCTCGTGACTCTCCTGTTTAAACTCGTTCATCAAAATTTGAAACTCTCATTTGGGCCTTGAACCGTTTGGTTCAAAATGAAGTCCATTATATAGAGAGAATCCTGGAATGTTTTTATCAAAAACCTTAATTTCTTTTCGACTGAAGAAAGAAATACGTGGACATCTTGGATGCTGGGGGTGAGTAAATTATCAGCAAAAGTTTTTTTTTTAAAGTGAACTACTCCTTTAAGCTACATGTTATTCCAAACCTGTATGACTTTCTTTGTTGTGGAACACAAAATGTGATCTGTCACATGCGCCTGACAAAATCAGTGCTGAGCAAGTGCCCCAAGTGTGTGAGTAATACTTTCCAACACATTTTACAACAAAATTTTAGGTAAATGTGTAATGGTAACAAGGATTTAATTAAACACAAACAGCTGTGCTAGTCTAATGGACAGTCTTTCAAGCTGTGTATGTCATTTGCTATATGAATAGTGAATGAGCAAAGGTGTTTGTTTGTGAAGCATAGATGTGGAGATGAAGGAAGATATTCAATAACTATTTTATTGTAGTTTTAGCAGTGACATTTTGTTTTGAAACTCACATGGGAGAAAGGTCAACAGTTAGAAAAAGTAAAAACTTTGGAGGTACCAGTTTTAGATGGTAGGCTAATACTGTTTCTTTAGCATGCCATGAGACGGATTACCACTTTCATAATTCTTAGTATTATTTAGACTACCGTTCAAATGTTTGTCAAAAGCATAAAGGTTGGTTAATAATAATATATATATATATATATATATTGAACATTGATGGATGGAGCAACAGATTTTGTGTGAAAATAAATCATACAAATGGTTTATTTTGTTTAAAAATCTCACCAGGGGCAAAAGGCAAAGTATTGATACAAATACTTTAGCTAAAGTAATATATATATTTTTTTAAATAATGTTTAATGTTTAAGTTAATACTTGTTCAAAACAGTGCTAAGCAAAGTTTGTATTGTTTTCTGTTTGTTTTCATAAATAAAATCATATTTTTTCAATAAATATATACTGTGATTAATATATAAATATATATTTGAAAAATACAGAAACAAAATTATTTTAAAATTTAAAGATTCCGAAAGCAGTAGTAGTAACCATAGTAACAACAGTAACAATAAATGATATTTTATTATATGATTCCATTCATATAATACATGTGTTTTAAATATGATGGTTTAATTATGTGATTGATTGTCACCATGTTACTAACCCGAAATTTTGAGCGGTAGTGTACGTGATATACTATATTACCATGGTAGGCCTACCATGTAAAAAACACATGGTACCACCATGTTCATACCATGTCCAAAACACTTACTGTGAATCACATTCAGATAGTTTTCTCTTTTCTCTGTGTGTGTGTCTGTCTGTCTCTCTCTTAGCCATTATCCTGTACCGTGTTCCTCTGACCTGGAGCAGGAGGTGGTGTAAGTTGGCCCATGCAGGGCTGTTGTTCATGGCAGTGGTGTTGGCTGTGCTAGGCTTGTGCGCTGCCTTTGATTTTCACAGTGCCAACAACATCCCTCATCTGTATTCATTACACAGCTGGACTGGGATCTCCACAGTGGCTCTATTCACTTTGCAGGTATACCATTTATCCCGATGACTGACTTGTCACAGTATTTTCACTGCTTCATGTTTGGTAAACTGCATAAGTATGTTCTGCTCCATCACATTTCAATGCAATGATGCTTGACATCATCTCCTCTGCCTTTCTCCTCTGAATGAATAGTGGTTTGTGGGTCTTTGCGCTTTCTTGTTGCCCTGGACCCCTTTGGCTATTAGAGCCAGCCTGAAACCTCTCCACATCTGGATGGGCATGGCCATCTTCATCCTGAGTCTCATCACCAGCCTGTCTGGGATCAATGAGAAACTACTACTGACGTTGTGAGTGACAATCCTACAATCACACCCACGTAGCTACAAGAAATGGCTGTAATTTACCTTATTCAGATAAATAATAACTTTTCCATTTGAACTAGTATTAGAAGCTTATTGTGATGAAACAAATCTAATGATTTTCATTTTCATTCACTGTGTGTTTTGTTGACGGCTGAGTTGTTTGTATCTGTTCCCAACCAATTATGTATCTGCAGAAACGGGAGAAATGAGAGCAATACAGAACCATACACTGCGCTGCCTGCTGAAGCTCTGTTTGCAAACTCAATAGGTGTTTTAGTTGTTATTTTTGGATTGGTAGTGCTGACAATACTGTCCAATCCGAAATGGAAAAATCCAGAGTTTGAGAATGAAACTGACAGGGTAAGTATGATGACATTCACTTTAAGATGCCAAAATTGAATTATAAGAATAGACACTTCCGTTTAGCAAAGATATTACAAAAGATTTATATTTCAAATAAATGCTTTTCTTTTCATTTTTCTTTTATCAAAGAATCATGAAAAAGTATGATAGTTTCCACAAAATATGAATCAACACAACTGTCTTCATATTGATAATAAAATCAATTCTTTTTGAGCAGCAAATCTGCATATTAAAATGATTTCTGAAGGATCATGTGACACTGAAGACTGGAGTAATGATGCTGAAAATTCAGCTTTGCCATCACAGCAGATTATGGTTTAAAATATATATAAAATATATATATATATATATATCAACATTATCTTATAGACTGAAAAACATTTTACATTATACTGTATATTGTTGTCTGCATTTAATTATGTTTTTTTTTTTTTTTGTTTTTGTAAAAATTTACATTTGTGACTTTAAAACCTTAAGTGCTGAACAGATGTTCTTTCTTTTTAATTTCATTTGTAGCCTTTGCTGACAGATGCCAGATGACGACTGGAGTAAACAAGAGAGAAGAAGAAACAAACTTTGGGTCACAATTATACAAATCACGTTTTGATAACTCTATGGAAGCTGATTGATTGGTTTTATGTCTTGTTCATACTCATCCAAATCATCTGAACGTCAATTGATTGACATCCTTATCAATGTTATGAGTCAGTCAGACCTCTTGTGGTTAGCAAAGAAATTGCAAGAAAAAAAAAATCAATAAATGTACCAGTTTACATGTAGACTACTATAGCCTATATATTTTTGTCTTTTAAGTTACATTTTTCATTTTAAGGATTCTTTTATTATTATGTTGTTGAACTGCACTATATTGCTGTAATCTTGAGGAAAAGTGGAGATGCCGGGGATTGAACCCGGGGCCTCATACATGCAAAGCATGCGCTCTACCACTGAGCTACATCCCCTTGTTTGCATAGATGAGTAGGTTATTGTAATAGCTTTGTAGAAGACCATTTATGAAATTAAATGCTATTTTTAACTCATACAAAATGTGATATTGCTATTTTAGGAAAATATTTTGCCTCAGCTACATTTTTAAAAACGTCCATAGCCATATACTAATAATTCGTTGAAATTAAATGAATGAATTGTGAATTTTATATTACGTACAGGCGTACAATAATTTAGATAATCTGATTAACGTGTCTGGCTGTATTTAATATTTGTAGGTATTTAAAATTATGGATTTTTCATTTTATACCAGTGTACGTGCAGCTTTCGTTGTGGTGGCACCGACATCCCTTACTCGTCGTTTACGGTGCTGATTGGTTTAAAATTCCACCCAGGCTGATATTGGCCAATGAAAATAATTTACGTTGAGTTCTAACAATGACACTCGTCATTCATTTCCCTCATCGGTGCTATGCGACTAGAACCTCGCAGGTGAATGTGTGTACACGCAGATGACGAACCACACACAAGCGCTCTGAAATGGGATGTTTCATAGGCTAAAGACTACGACAAACGCCGGGCGTAAGACTGAATTTGAAGCGGATTTTTTTTCTATATCAAAGGCATGTCAACTTTTGTGGTGAGTGAAAGTTTAAAGGTACAATGCTGTGGTTTGTGTGTTAGCTTGCTAAAGTTGTTAGCTCGATTAAGTGTGCAAAATCTGCGTGCAGCTTTTAACTCAACTTTCTGGACAATTGTGATTCAGTACAGTAGTCAAGATTTACATTCTCAACCTGGTATCGTTTTATAACTACCCATTATTTTATTAAACTAGTTGCAGGCCTTCTGAAAAATATAAATAAACGGTTAGTGATGCATTAGGCCCATAATCGTATGTATTACATTTACAACATGTACACGAATAATAACATTTTTTCAAACACGTGTTTTTTTTAAATATCTTAGATCGTGGTTGTAATAATTTCTCATATTGTTGACAAACTTGCCGTCGGGCCAAGTTTCATTGGTTTTCGGCGGCAATGCATAAGATTGCCACTAGGGGCTCTTTAAGAAATGCATATAAAAACAAAATGTGACATTTCAGTTTGTGGAAGTTTTTATGTGTGCAATACATGAGGTAACATATTTCAGTAAGCTCTAATGCTGTGTTGTCAGATTTGGTGCCCCTGCTGTAAATCTTCAGCTGTTCACATCAGAGCAAAATACCTTCTAGTATATAAAATAAAAAAGTTTGGAGTTAGACACCGCCAAAGTGAACTTGAGAAGCATTACAGACAGTCTATATAATATAGTAATTATTTGAAGTGTCAAAATGGTCGTTGCGTGGACAGAAATCTTTCAGATTTCATTAAAAATATCTTAATTTGTGTTGCGAAGATGAACTAAAGTCTTATGGGTTTGGATCGCATGAGGGTGAGTAAATTATGACAGAATTTAATCTTTGGGTGAAATAACCCTTTATTGTACAACAACCTCCATTTACAGATTTCTTCCAGTTAGAACAAAATATAAATCATGCAGTTATGTATTAAGAAAAATAAAGTCTTTTTTTGTAATAGTATGCCAGCCCTAAACAGCTGTCAGCACAGTAATAGGGCTACTTATTCAATACATTGTCTCTTTTAGAGTGTCATTCACAAGGCTGTCTGCAATTGTTTTTCTAGGCCCATCCCTCGGTTCGTGTCAGAGGAACAGAACACGCATACACACCTGTGCTGTGTCAGGATGAGAAGTGTTTAGGGCAGGAGAAAGGAGTGCACATGCACTGCCCCCTCTGTTCTGTGGCCGAGGTTTACCAAGATCCCATCATCCTGCGAGCTCACTTCCGTATTAAACACGTGGACAAAGGCATTGATTTTGCAGGTAAGGATCATGAAATCTATAGACTCAAAATTTAGTTTTTATGACTGATGCTCTTTGAAATCAGTCTCTCTCTTACACTTATTTTTTCATGGACAGGCTTGAAGGTGCTGCGTTGCTGTATCCATTGTGAGATTGTGGGAACTATTAAAGGAGAAAAGAGGTTTAAAGGTGCTCATTGGCACTGTTACCGCTGTAGAAATGGTTTCAACAGGCGGGACGAGGCCATCAAACACTACAAAACACATTTCCGAAATCCCCAGACCACATTCCAGATCCAAGTCACTCAGGTAAAGGTGGATAACATCGGGCTAAAGGTCCATTCGCACCAACAACGATAACTACAAAGAACTGTATTAGCGACGACATCGATGTATGGTAATATTCTGTTTATAATAAGTGCACACTATAGTTATATAGACTGGCACTTTGAATGCTCAAGCTCTTTAAAGTTGTGTGGATTCTGATTGGCTGATGCTTTTATCATTCATCAGCTGAAAAAAAAAAAAGTTCTTACTGATTCCAACGATATCATTCCTATCTGTCATTAACAAATAGTTGTGGTGTTGACTAGTTTTTCAAAAAATTAGAATATTTTTTTAATGTTATTTATGTTTATCGTTCTTAGTGTGAACAGCTTTTTTTTTCCTCATTGGATCGCTCTTTTTGAACCCAATAATGTTTGCATGATTCCTCTCCCAGAATGTGAACTGCCGACAGTATTATGGGGAGAGCTCAGAGGCTCATGGTAAAGCATATGAAGGGTTGGCAGTGAGTCTCGGACCAGGTGGAGATGGAACAAGCATTGGATCCATATTAACTCAGCCCATCGTGACCACTGGCACTGAAACGGTAGACTGTCCAAGTTTTATTTTGGGAATTTCATTAAAGGGAACCTATTATTTTTTTATTTTTTTTCAAAGTCTTCATTTTGGTTTGGGGGTCTACTAGAACAGGTTTTCATTCTTGAAAGTTAAAAAAACCCCCACTTTTTAAACATATTTTACACAGGAGGACCTCTCTTCCCAGTCAGTCAGTAACGCTATGTTTATGTCCTGTCTCTATGAAGCCCCTCTTTCAGAAAAGCACAGTATGCTCTGATTGGTGTGTTGTGATTGGTCAGTCTCTTCAAGCGTGTTTGGGAAGGAATACATCCTTTACCTTAACCGCAAATTTCAGCAGACTACTACCAGGCAACCAATTTTTTTGGCTAGCAACATTATACAAAAAATGTTTAAAAGCATAGTAGGACCCTTTTAACAAGTGTGATCTACTACTAAACCTCTTAGTGTTTGATTTGAAATATTGTTGTCGAATTTCCTTTGTGTTTGAAGGAAGAAGGTGAGAGAAATGGGATCCGACTGGGTGCTGAAGAGGAGGTGGGGTCTTCCCAGAATTCATCTGATGGGACACAGACTCTTGTTCTTATGGACCCTGATGGACAGGGAAACAGTGTGATCTATGACATGGCTACTGGTATCATTACTGAACAGGTCATTGATAACATGAATCATAGAACACATTACTCTTTTTAATGATGAATGCTCTGAAAAAAAAAAATATATATATTTTAATAGAAAATGGTAATTAGATTTGTCCATGTATCTATAATTATTGATGCAGCTAGATGGTTTTGAAGCTTATGTGGGGTTAGTATCTTTATTTTTTTTAAAGGAGGAGTGATCTAAAAGCTTTGTCACTGTAATTTCAGGACGCAGAAGGTTTGGAACAGACCCTGCTACAGAAAAGACTCCTGGAGTTCCACCAGCAGATTGACACACTCCGTCAGGAGAAAGAAGATATGGAGAAGACACTACAAGCTGAGATTAAACAGCTCAAAGAACAGGTACACCTGCAAAAAGTTTAAGTTTATATTTAGCCTTTTTGGTAAAATGTCATTTTTAACTTTCATTAAGGTTATATTCTCTATGTTGTCTTCTTTTGCATTTCTTCTATTTTACTTTTAGGTTGCAAGTCTGGTTCAATCTAATGTTAGGATGTTTGAGGAACTGCAAGCATATCAATGTCCAGATCACAGCCAGCAGAAGGTGGCCAAGCTTGTAAGTGTTCAGAATGTATTGGTTTGGGCTAATTTAAATGGATATTTCTTCTGGGGAAAACTGTCTTACTTTTTTATTGTTAGATGGAAAACCTTGAAGCGCAGCACAAGGAGCTCCTGCAGGCCCAGTTGGCCTCACTCAGGAGAGAGATCCTGTCAGGAGCAGATAACATGCCAATCAATGGCCATAAGGATGCACTGCAGCTCAATGTGGTTCTAGAAGAGCCACAAACTGAAGTTATCAGTGGCACTTTTACAGGACTGGAGGATTTGGATGTACAATTGCAACCTGAGCAGCATGAGGCACTAAGACCCACAGAGCTGGAACTAGTGCAAACCGATACAATGCCCTGTTTGGAGAGCCCCGGCTTGGACTTAGATTTGCCAAAGACTGGCTTGACTACATCTAAGGTTTTAGAGGATAAACAGGAAGTGTCATTGTCCCTTGTGTCATCTAAGAAGCGCTGCTCGGTGGATGAATCAGACACAGTTGAAAGCAAAGTACAAAGAGTCAGCTGAGAATGACTTTACATTAGAAACACTCTTCTCCATTCCTTTTTCTCAACACTTTTACACTTTGCTGTTACCTTAACCACACATTTCCAGGTCAACAATAATGTCTGTATTCTGTCAATTGATATACAAATACATTTCCATGATGCAATATAGTTTTGAGCTTAAATCTCCTTTCCATGCTTATTTATATTAAGTGCTGCATTGGCAATGCTTTTTGTTGGACTTATATGCTCTTGTCACTCAAAAGTCTTCATTCAATTTCAGTTAGCTTCTGTTGTTCTTTGAGCATAAATTGAAGCATGTTACTGATCTTGAATTTATAAACATTTTGTGATGAGCTGTGGAAAACTGTTTTATGTTGGATTGCTAATTCTTGATGGTCTTGTTGGCACAAATGTGCATTGTTATCCTACTCTGGCTTTTCATTTGCATTTTCAATGCCTAAAGTAAGTGTATTTTACCAGGTTAAATTGTTCAACTGGTGCTTTACTTACCATGTGTTGGCAACTGTTACTTTTCACAGTGCTGATCAAGATGCACCAGATCAGCCCTTTCATTAAATGTGAAACACATTTTATAATTTGTAGATTGATGTGTCAGGTTTCATTGTTATATTGTTTATATGAATTTATCCACTGAGATAAAAAATAGTTCTGGGATTTGAATGCGGCTCATGGAGGATTCAGGGATTTTCTGAACTTTTAGCATTCAGTTAAATGACCATGATCAGTATGACACTGGGTAACAAATGAGCAGCAGATACATACAGTGCCCTCCACAATTATTGGCACCCCTGTTTAAGATGTGGTTGAGGACTTTTAAAAATTCTCCCTTTTTTTTTAAACAACATAGAACCCAAATGCAAAAAAAGAGAAAAATCCAACCTTTTATTCAAGTACATTACTTTGGTGGTAAAAAAAATTGTAAAAATTTAGAAAAATAAAAACTTCAAATCCTGTGTCCCACAATTATTGGCACCCCTAACAATTCCGCTGAAAAATGTAATTGATTTTTAAAAAAAATATATATTTTCTGTAGTTGCTAATGTTGGTCAGGATATCTAGGAACTTTTAATTAGTAATTCATGACTTCCTATTTCCCTGGGGTATAAATATGACATGACACAGAGGCCTAATTCTCTTACCCATTTGTCAACATGGCAAAGACAAGAGAACACACCATTCAAGTAAGGCAGATGTGTGATGACCTTTATAAGTCAGGGCAATGGCTACAAGAAAATAGCCACTCACCTTATTGCCCATATCTAAAGTTAGAGGAATCATTAAGAAGTTTAAAACAACAGGAACAGTGACAAACAAGGCTGAAAGAGGTCCCAAGTTTATCTTGCCACAACGCACAGTGAGGAGGATGCTAAGAAAAATAAAAAAAGTCCTAAGCTCACTGTCACAGAATTGCATCAAATAGTGGCATCTTGGGGTCACAAAATCTCCAAAACAACCATCAGACGCTCTCTACATGCCAACAAGATGTTTGGGAGGCATGCTAGGAAAAAGCCTTTTCTCACTAACACTGACAAACGTAAACGTCTGGAGTTTGCCAAGCGGCACTGGGACTTCATCTGGGATCGTGTGCTTTGGTCGGATGAGACTAAGATTGAGCTTTTTGGCAACAAACACTCTAAGTGGATCTGGTGTAAAACAAAAGATGTGTATGCCGAAAAGTACCTCATGCCCACCGTGAAGTATGGTGGAGGATCTGTGATGCTGTGGGCCTGTTTCTCTTCCAAAGGCCCTGGGAACCTTGTTAGGGTGCATGGCATTATGAACGCTTTGAACTACCAGGACATTTAAATAAAAACCTGATGGCCTCTGCCAGAAAGCTGAGGATGGGTCGTCATTGGGTCTTTCAGCAGGATAATGATCCAAAACGTGTGGCAAAATCTACACAAAAATGGTTCAGTCACAAACTCAAGGTCTCCCATGGCCATCTCAGTCCCCAGACCTCAATCCAATCGAAAACCTGTGGGGTGAGCTAAAGAGGAGAGTGCACAAGAGAGGGCCCAGGATACTGGATGATCTAGAAAGATTTTGCAAAGAAGAATGGTCAAAGATCCCTCTCTCTGTGTTCTTCAATCTTGTGAAATGTTATAGGAGGAGATTAAGTGCTGTCTTGTTGGCAAAAGGGGGTTGTACAAAGTATTAACATCAGGGGTGCCAATAATTGTGGGACACATGATTTGAAGTTTTTATTTTTTTACATTTTTAATTTTTTTTTTACCACCAAAGTAATGTACTTAAATAAAAGGTTGGATTTTTCTCTTTTTTTGCATTTGGATTCTATGTTGTTTAAAAAAAAGGGAGAATTTTTAAAAGTCCTCGACCACATCTTAAACAGGGGTGCCAATAATTGTGGAGGGCACTGTACATCTCTAAATAATCCAATTGTTTCTCTCCCCCTCTTTTTACGTGTACTTACAATTCAGTGTCTTTGAAATATTTTAAGTATCGTTAATTACCACCTCAGTGCTGTTGACCTATGACAGTCCTTTATTAGCACTTAATGTTGTACTAGTTTTAATCTTATATTTCATGTGATGGTTTTCACAATTAAATTATTTAAACAATTATTCGTCCCACTGCAGTAACTGCACAATAGCCGCGTTTCCACTGCCGGGCCAGGGCCGAGCTATGCGTGCTAGTGCATGCCAGGGCCACTGGTACTTCCGGTGCTTGAGCGGGGCTTTACCATAGCTCGGGGCCAGCAGCCAGGATTTCTGGCCCGTCGAATACCCCAACATTCTGGGTGCAGGGGGACTGTAGATGCAGGTCTCCGAGTCTGCAGCTTCATACTACTCGAATACCTTGTGTCAAAGCCAGGCCCGGTTCTAGAACCAAATCACTGAGGGTGCTCAAATGTTAAACAATATGTGATATCCATGAACTCGATCATGCAGCCTATATGTCCCTGTATGAGTTTTTGTCCTTTACATAGGCTATCATTTCATATAGTTAAGAAATGTTACACACAGAGTACTTTTCCCCCAAATAACAGTAGTAGACTAGCCTATTGCAAATGTGTGAAGTATTGAAACTGATTTTATTCTGCAGTTGAATAAATAAGTTAATATAAGTAGGCTACATGTTAGACATTTAGTTTCTGACAATGAATCAGTCCTTTTAAATGAAACAGCTGATTTAAAGATTAAATGGTCACTTAATAAAAATGATAAATAATAATATTTAGTTCACCTTTGGCTAAGCCCCGAGATTAAAAAAAAGATTAGAACTTACCCTAGATGCTTGATGTAATTTTTAAATTCGGAAGAAATATGAAAAATTTAGGAAAATCTTCACATATTCACAAGCACTTCTTCAGCAACTTGAGTCATGTGAAATGTGTCAGTGTGAAATGAATGACCGTGTGTATTGTCATGTGATGTCATCAAAGCATATCATTGGTTACCACCAGGTTCTACCATGAATTTAAGATTAATCAGAACTCATATTTATTTTCAAATTTCAAGAAATGTCCAAAGAAAGGGTTTGTTGCCATACGCCAACACCGTGCAGTAGAGGGTTAATTATTTACATCATTATGTTACAGATCTGTACATGTACATAAATTAAAGGCACTTCTACAGCATTTATAAATATTTGCTAACCCATTTATTCATACATTACACTCCAATGTTTTAATTGCTACAATCAGTTAACGCAGTTAACGCACTGTGAACAAACTAACAAACCAACAGCTGATTTTTTTTTTTTTTTTTTTTTTTTTTTTTAAATTAGTTTTCTGTCTCACCAAGCGCCCCCTGGAGGAAGACAACCGCCAACGCCTTCTCCAGACCTGACGGTGGCAGCACATAACCTACTGGTTGACGTTATCAAGAAAGGAAAAAAATACCGGAAGAAGGACGCGGGCATTTCATTTGGACTGTCACTGTGTGAGTATTATTATATTTTAACATCTGTTTTAAAATCTAAACAACATTTCTGTGAATAATAGAAACAGGGAGGGAACAGGAATATGTAATTATCGAATTCATTTTGTAAATGTGGCTAGGCACAATCACTTTATATGTAGCAACGTTATAAAGCTTGGTTGTTTGTGTGCAACATTTATAGACCATTTCACAAGATGTAAACAACACTGGTCCAGAAGCACTTCCTGTTTCAGTTTGTAACTGTTTTCTTTATTTCACATGTAAAGAAAACATCTTAAAGATGTTTGTTTAACTTTTTGATTCAGTTTTAAATGTTCTGTTGGTTGTATTTTATCCCAGCTTTTATGTAGTGTTAAAAAACTGAAACAGGAAGTGCTTCTGGACCAGTGTTGTTTACATCTTGTGAAATGGTCTATAATTAGGGTGACCATATTTTTGATTACCAAAAACCAGGACAGTCGGCCCGGCAAACAGATACATGATACTCGAGTTTACTTAAAGATGGCTTAATAATTTAAATACATTTAAAGTTGGCTATACCTCCTCTGTATGGATAGAAAGACACAAATTCAGATAGGCTTCTCAGAGGTTACGCAGCATGTTTTATTATGACAGGTTTTAAGAATATTGAATGAAATAATGATAGAAATAATATCTCTTTTGTATAAGAAAAATAAATTATAAATAACTAAAAGAAATACCTCCAAATTGAACAAAAATAGCTCTCACAAACATACAAATAAACATACTAACAAAATATATTTATATCTTTAGTTTTATTCCTCTTTATCCGTTTTTTCTTCCTTGTCGTCCTTGTTTGCCCATCTATATTTTGCTGTAGAGCTGATCTTTCCCAGCAGTTTTTTGAAAACCAGGACATGTTCATCACTTTATAGAAACAGCCAGGAGGGCCAGGACAGAATGTGAAAACAGGACATGTCCTTGGAAAACAGGACTGTTGGTCACCCTAATGTATTATTATTCAAAGGTCATTTACCAAGGCAAGACACCGGACACATTACGGTTGGCGTTAAACATTCCTAGAGAGGAGAATAGTAGTTTCAGCAAAACTTACAGAATCTGTAAGATCTGAAACAGGAATGTGTGTTTTTTTTGTGTGATTGCTGTAAGTGAGATTTCATGTGTTTTCATGGTTTTTAGGTGGTGCATATATGTCACAGTCAGCACAGCCCGGCACGATGCCCACAGCCCCGGATTCCCCATCTCTGAGCGTCACCGTCAGCGGGAATGTGCAGAAATACAGCATCAAGAAGAAAAAGATCTTAAATGCGGAGGAGACTGAGCTGTTCGAGCTCACTCAGGCTGCTGGGATAGTCATTGATCAAGAGGTGTTTAAGTGAGTCACACAAAATCAAACGGAAAGTGGCACACACATCTACACTATGGTCTATGTGCACTGAAACAATCATTGATTAAACTTAAGTTTACAAAGATGTGAAAACTCACCGAGTCACTGATATGCTCACACCAAAATCGCTTTATCGTTTTATCGTAGTTTTTGTACCAAGTCAAGTCAATGGAGTCGTTTTTGTACGTCTTTGTAAACTAAAGTTTAATGCGTTTTAAGAATGATTGTTCCAGTAGACAACCTTTGTGTAGGTGGGGGGGTGCTAACACAGAAACCGAAAATTCTCGGGACAGTAGCATTTGTCCAAATTTCAATCTTAACCATTCTATTTCATCAGAAACGATCTTAAAACAGGGCTAAAATACCGAACTAACCCTTTAAAATAAATGTAAATAAAATGTACTTTTTTTGCTAGTTTCCAAGGCAACATGTATCATTTATTTAATTGAACTTAACGTAATTAACTTGACTAAAACTGAAATGAAAATTAATAAAAACTATATTACAAAAACCCGAAACGCACAACAAAATTATTAAACCTTTAACTAAAATGAAAGCTATAAAAATAACGAATTGCGGATATTACAGTTTTTCTCAGTCGCTTTGGTACATTTCTCGAATCATTGAAATCTGCAAAGCAGTAAGTGCATTTCTTTAAACAATTCGTACGAATAGCAAAACACCATGGATTACTTGGAAAAGCCTGTCTCTTGCTCAAAATCCTTAGTTCATCTCTCAAAAGTAAATTTCTGTGTTATTGAACAATGTCAGTGCCATCAGATTGACATTTGTGTACAGCATTGGGTATGGATAAGACAGTCAAATTGCTTAGTCATGCTGTCGATCTAACAGTGTACTCTGGAGGGATGTTCTGATGTAAACTATGGCTAAAGTTTTGATGACAATATTGTAAATTGTAGGTTACACATCTTAGTGTATAAGGGAAGTTTGATTACAAGAGCCTGGATAAGATTCACATTTACGCTTTTACTGTTTGTACTGTAATTTGTTGACAGACCATGTCATTGCAATACATAAAGGACAAGACAGCGTTACATAGAAAACATAAAAGAAAACAGGTAGTTTTCTGATCTGAGAAATGTTCCAAAGTGACTTAGAAAAACTGTAATAAAAACTACAATTGTGTTTTAATGATACTAAAATAGCACTAGTGTGAATTGTAATTGGCAATTATGAACTACCTACATTGAAGCAAATGAACTTTAAGACCATAAAGAATTGTTAGTTAATAGAAATATACATTTATTGAACACCGTAATCTTTAATTCCATTGCTGATGCCACTTCATGTTTGAGCTGTTCTAACTGAAAGCAACTTGCACTGACATATCTTAAAGTATCTCAGTGCCATTGTTTTGTCTCAAGATGCATACCAGTAATGTCTTTTTCGAAGGCACATTTATAAATGCCCCAATTAAACGAAGGCCTATTCCTGGCTTAATCTGTGAAACCAGGCCTTTGCATCTGTAATAAAATCTTAGAAACACGTAACCTCTTTTACTGAGTTTGCACTTTTGGTCTGTTAATGTGTCTCGAGATTCTAAACCAACTCTTCTCGCTCTACTACAGGATCATAGTGGACCTGTTGAAGATGAACGTTGCTCCTCTGGCAGTCTTTCAGACCCTAAAGACCATGTGTGCGGGGCAGAAGGTCTCTGAAGCGTCCACTGGTGACACATCCACAGCGTCCCACACCACCGCTGCCCCTTCAGAGTCTAGAGGTGAGTGGTACACATAATAATGCCACAGTATTACATGAAATGAGCTGGAAAATAGGTGATCCAACACAAAACAACATCTCTGCTCTTCTGGTAGTAGTTTTAAACTCCGACTTTGTCCTTTGATCACTTTCTCCGTGTTTTGTGCTAGCATTGTTTCATTTAATCTGTGTGACTTCCTTTAGAAGAAGAATGTGTGGTCTCAGGAAAAAGCTCTAAAACTGCAGCCCCTCCCTCTGCACCGGTGTCCCGCCCCCCTAGGGGAGGGGCTAAGATAGTGGTCTACAGCACGGGTGACACAGGCGCTCCTATCTCTCAAGGTTTTTCCTCTCTGTCTTTTAGCTTGGAACCTTCATCCTTTTTTTCATTTTCCGATGTTTGCGAGTTCAAGGTCTTCTCTTCACTCCCATGAACTATTGCAGCACATTTCTCAAGCTGACATAACTAATTCCTGCCTCAGCTTCATAGTGCCGTATATCTGTTCTCATTCTCATGCCTCGCCGATTGTGCTTATGATTTGCGGGCTCGATGCTCCAAATATGGGGGTGAAATGCCCCAGATCGGCTTTCTTCATGTGTCTCATGGACTCTGCGACATTTGCCCGGCTATAAAGTCCTCTGGTTTTCATGGTAAATGAATGGCTGTTAATGGCGTGTGTTGAATACTAGTAAACCACATCCTGCAAAATTGTCCACCGGCTTTGAAAAGCATGCATGTGGCTGTCAACTTCATAAACGGATGGTGTTTGTACATTTTTCCTCTTCATCACTAATATCTACTCATTGCAACTGTAAACCATCTTGGATAGGTGTCGCCTAATTTTCCAAATCATTATAATGTCCTTTATACCCTAACATGTGACCTGCTCTATCGTTTTGAGTCATTTTGACCCAGAAGTACACTGAATAATAAACAAAGTCTCAACACTCGCTATTTATGTAATTCTATTTCTTCTTGTTTAAATTGTGCCTGCAGTTTTATTCAAACATGGGTTAAATAATTTAGAGCTCAATATCAGGTTAAAATATACTGATTTTATAATATATTTTCGAATGCTCTTCTCAATTTTTTTCCATACCTAATGATCTGTGAACTGAGCCGCAAGTGCACATGAAGTTTGCCATTTGGAACAAGGCCTGTGTAACCTCTACTACACTCTTAAACTACTTAAAAATGTGTTTTTGCTTTGCAATAATTATAAAATATGTTGTTTCTGTATACAAAATCAGCATCTTTAAATACATAGTTATATAGATCCATCATTTTTTGTGTCAAATCAAAGTTTGCATTGTGATTCACCTAGAATCCGGTTGGTTTGGTTCATGGCTTATATCTCTTTAATTAATATTTTTTTGTTGAAATCCCTATGGAAAAAAAAAATAATAGGAAAAATACTTCCAGAACCCAAAAAGTGGGTTGGCACCGTTGGACTCTAAAACTAATAGTTAATGCAGAAATGATGATGGGTTCACATGCTCTTCATTCGACCTCCATTCGAGACGTCTTTCAAATGAACGAGTCAAAATTAATGTTTTATGATAGTGTTCCTCCACAAATGTTTTGCTGCGACTTCTGGCTCAAAGTGATAGCGCGTGTCACATGAATGTGTTTTAATTATATTAACATGGGTTTCTTCTGTATGTATTTGTTCAGTGCGTAGTAAAACAAGTTCAGGGCAAGGGGAGAAATCAGCGAGAGACGGTTCTAGCCAGCGAGTGCCACGGCAGGTCAGTGCCACCAGGGGGCAGAAGAGCGCCAAGAGCTCTGGCAGCAGCAGCTCATCCTCTCAGCTCACCTCCAACTGAAGTTCTTCACCAATTAAACAACACATACTAAACTTGCTTGAATTACACTCCTATGTTCCGTTGAAGAAGGTTCCTGTACGATTGGCAGAAACTATTTCACTGTAAACAAGTTGCGTCATTTTAGGGATCTCCTTGGGGTTGTCTTTTGTGTTGTCTGAAAAACTCTTGCTTTGCATGAAATTTGCATCTCACCCAGGGAGACTGTAGTTTACACTTTCACATCAAGACAATTTCAGATAAACAAAGTAAATCTTTTTCCATCTTTAAACCTTCCTCTTCTGAAATTCAGTAGCTTTGATGCTGCTGTGATGTGAACCAGATCTGTTTTAAGTTTTTCTTGTGTAAGATACTTAAATATGCTTTTTTTTTTTTACATTATTTATTTTTCTTGTATCCAATATTTTCCAAATACGTCTCTGCGTTTTGAGTAAAAATATAAATGAAATGATTGTATTTTACAGTTTAATTATTTGTGAGCACTGTTAGTATACTATACATTAATATTATGCATCAATTATAAAGACAAATAATAGTCTGATAAATTTTGAGAAAGACTCAGTTTAATTTCTTGTTGATAAATGACACATAAGCACTTAATTATGCAGTTACATTAACTGTTGGAACTAGGACTGCTTATTCATTCTGACGTGAACTTCCTATTCCATGTTGAATGAGTTTATTTGATGCACTGCCTTTCTCTATAAAACCTGGAAAGGGCCAGGGTAAATGCAAGCACTTGTTTGTACACTGAACTTTCTTAAAGTGTGCCAAGGATAGACATTCACCTTTGACACATGCACAATGGTTAAACATCTCTTCAGTGATGAGCTGCAGGCATATGAAAATGTGAACTTCCAGACAGATCTTGACCACATTGCATGCCCATGTCACTTCCCCAACGATTTTAGTCAACTTTCAGCCAAAGGTCCGCGCAACCTAATACAGCAAAAAACTAAACAAAAACCACAACGACACTGATCAAGCAAATAAATACAGTAAACAATAAGATAAAAACAATATATATTTCCCATGTTTTTTGCCACAAAATTACTTATATTATGTGCGGAAACTTAAGCATACTTCATTTACATACACATACAGTATGGACACAAACTGTTGTCTTTCCTCTTTGACGCCATCTCTGTTTGAATTCTGCAATTCACCTTTGGCTAAGCCCCGCCCCACTTAGTTACTGTTGCTACATCCGTCAAACTTCATCTGCGCTCTGCATGGCTTATGCTGTAACAGCTCTTCCTGCTGAAATGTTATCAAACTTTTATAAAGCAGCAAATAAAGTGTCCGATAGAAGAAGGCAAAAGGGGCTGCAATATGCGTTCGAAGGCTATATTCAAGACATACAAATGCAAGAAACAACAAGGCATCCAAAATGGAGGCAAAAGCACAACGTACCGGTCACAGTTAAAACATGAACCACCGCATATCTTACTAAGGGAGAAGCAGGCTGGTAGTAACAATATCAGGGAGCAACACTGTTCATGCAAAGCTGGGTAGGTCTCTATTCACTTCTATAATCCGTATTACAAAGCAAACGGACTACACGAGTATAACGTTGTATTTATTAGCAGCGTGTGCTAGCGTATTCAATAACCGGTATGAGAACCGAAATCATAACCTAAAACATTATAAAATGGTCAAACTAGTATAACTTCACACTCACAATAAGGTTAGAAGTAAAAAAACATGTGCTTGTAGATCTTTGCGGGGTTTAGCTGACTGAGGTAATCCACACAGTTTAATCCAAAGGCAACACTTGGATTTTACTTTGGTTTTGGGAAGGGAAAAAATGGACGCCCCCCTCTAATCTCTCTGGGAAACGCGTATCTGTGTTACAAATGCCCGAGGCACAACGTTTAACTATATTTTGTATAAAACTACGACGGTAATAGCCTGCCGAGACCAAAAATATGAGACGCCTGTGTTGAAAGTCAATGGAGCGCTGTGAAAAAGTGTCGGACCGCTGTGGGAGCTCGTTCTTGGCTCCGCTGTGATTGGTCAATCTACATTCTAGGGCATGGCTTAGCCAAAGGTGAATTGCAGTCATTCGCGGATTTATCAACTTTCCACGAGTTTTAGATCGACACCGCCCAGCACAGATGAACACATGAGGAGAGTGCAGCTGTCCATCACCGCACTGGTGTCGATACTGGCATTCAGAATCACAGATCATTCATTTTGGAAGTATGACTAGCATAATTTTCACCGAAAAATGTCATCTGAATAATTAAGTAACATCCACTTTTGTTCTGGTTTTGACATTGCAAATCGCACTGATTAAATCTAAAAACCGCTTATCACCCAAAACCGTGCAAATTATACTTTGTTCTCAACCTGTATAATAACGTTAGCATTGCGTGACTACGTATTGTACTTTCGATATGTATTCTTGTTTTCGGTCCGGTTGCAGTCCTTTTTTTTTTTTTCTGTAAGTTAGCCCGAAGTCCGAACGAAGTCTTTTTACATCGGGTGAGTCTCTATAGTTGTCACTGGCGATTGTCGTTTGAACCTTTCTGGATCCGCCATCAAATTGATAAGTCTAATTATATAAAGTGCTGTGAGAAAAGGCTATAAATCTCCACCTGCAACATCCTCACACGCAATATAGCCTAACTGGCCGAGAAACTCCTTCTTAATGTGTACAGATGTGACGTAATGAAGCAAAGACAGGCTCAAATCTTCTGCGGAAATCCACGTTACCACTGGAATTAAAAACATTATTACAAGTTTACTGCTACGGCAAGCAGAGAGTTTTGAACACTAGCTGGTTATGTATTTTCTCAAAAATGTATTTTGGATCACCAAAAAATAAAAATAAAAAGCTATGGACTGCAGCTTTAAAAGCTACATGACATTTCTCACTTGCGAGGTAACGGTGCTGTCATTGAAGCAGACAAACGTAGTTCCACTTTTAGCAGAAACAGTGCTACCGAATTAACACTTCTGAGATGTGCAGAGACTCGGGTAATTCACACACACACACACACACTTAATCAATCTCTCTCTCTCTCTCTCTCTCTCTCTCTCTCTCTCTCTCTCTCTCGTATATCGACAGTAATTTGAAATCAGTCCTACAGACATTTTTAACTGGCAAAACCACATTAAATACAACTATCATTCAAAAGTTGTTGGGTCCGATTTATGAATGAAAAATTGACTTTGTTACGAAAATAAATCTATTTAAAATGAATGCTGTTCTTTTGAACTTTTTATTCATCAAAGTGTACAGATAAAATCAAAATGGTTCATACATTGATAATAATAAGAAATGTTCTTGAGGATTAGCATACATGATTTCTGAAGTATCATGTGGCACTGAGGACTGGAACAAAACAAGAATTTCAGTTCATCCAGTGCAATTATTGTGATATAATTATAGCACTGTTTACGAGTTTTAAATATAAAAGTAAATTAAAATATTTTCAAACCAGTTTGACCCAACCTCAACGCAAAGCAATTTAACAGTTCCATTGGAGAGACAAACTTCTATCTATACATGCGCATATGACCGAACCTTTAAGCTCTGACATACGAACACAATCACTTGTATATGCACTACGTTTCATTTATAAATGCCAGACAGACAGTCTTTTCTCTTTCAAGGTCAGTATATGAAAGTGAATTCCTTCAGATGGCACGGATATGGTCATAAGGACACATTGCACAAGGTTGTGTACTCTTTCAATAGTTTTCTTATCCTTCATTTGTCACTTGTGAAAGTTTCTGTTGTCGAAAGATTAGTTGGGTTTTCACTTGCCATTTTAATGGAGGAATGTTGGGTCCGTTGACTAAGTTTTGTAAATTTTGTGCTGTTGATAATATATTTTTCCCCAAACAGGCTTCTTAAACACCAGTCTTCCACTGGTCGGTCAAATGTTGTTGTGTATTGATCTGAGTATGTATTGATCTCTGTGTGTATGCAGTGAGCAGACCGCGACGGGTTGGTTGGAGCGGATGTTATAGCCAGACAAGAGGGTTTTATGGTACGCCAATCCAATGATGGTATCGCTGGACTTTTGAAGGGTATGGGCCATAAGTAAAAAAGAGAACACTGCTCACGAGGGGAATAGAAAAGAAAAGCTTTTGTTTGCCAGACTGAGAGGGATGAGGACAAAGACATACACTTGTGGAGAAAACAAAAAAAAAATAAAAGCGCTTGAGGGGCTTGAGCTAAAGAAAATAGGTGTGTGAGCTGAGAAGAAGAGAGAGAGAGAGAGAGAGTGAAAGAGGTGAGCTAGAGGTTTTAATGTGGCCGTTTGTCGTGTTTATGTGGCTGTGCCGCTGCTCTCCTGCTCTCTGTATTGATGGCAGTGCAGCCAGGCTGTAATTGATGGCGGCATATTGCTGTACTCCGGCAAGTGTAATGGGCCGAGACACAGAAGCAGAGAGCACAGCAGGAACCCTCTTTAACCCTTTACGTGCTCACACACACTCACACTCCCCAAATATGTGTGTGTTTGTGTCTGTATGGAAGGAGACGTGTGCCACATTTCTACTACAGGTAGATTAACTTGTCTTCTTATTTTATAACCCCACATTGTGCAAGTTGCACACAAACAATTCTAAAAGGGGATTTTTGCAGTGATGCTGTAAAACCACTATTTTTGCTTCCCCAAAGAAAAATATTTTTTTTTCTTACACTATGAAAATAAAGGTTCTTTATTGGCATCTATGGTCAATGAAGAACCTTTAACATCCAACCTTTCCATTCCACAAAAGGTTCTTTATAGTGGAAAAAGGTTCTTCAGATTAATGTTCTACTGTATATATTAAGAATAAAATGGTCCTTTTAAGAATCGTTCACTGAAAAGTTCTTTGGGAAACCATTAATTTTCTTCTATAGCATTGCTGAGAAAAACCCTGTTTAGGACCTTTACTTTTTTGTAGACTGTAGTGTAAAGAAAACCTTTTTACTACTATAAAGAACATTTTGTGGATTGGAAAGTTTCCAATAATGGAAAAGTTTAAATGCTAAAATGAACCTTTATTTTGAAGAGTAAAGTTCGGCTTCCATTCCTGAAAACAAAATGCAGACAACAAGTATTGTGTTAGTTGTTATATTGTTTAGTTTGCTTGTCTGCTTTGTTTAGATGTATGTGTTAAGTGCTCTGAGTACCAGAACGCTATTTAAATCAAACCTAACTTGGTCTAGCAGAAGGAAACAGTTGGTCATGTGACCGTAACATGGCGGCATGAAGAGGTAACCAACTTTTATTAGGCGGCTATTGATTTTTAGCATAACATTTTTAGCATATCGTTTTCGAGGGGTAAAACTTTTTTCGTACCAGAAAGAATGACTGAGTGCACCTTTTAAAGACATATTCTGGGTCAAACATGAACTGTGATCTCTACATCTGCTAAAATCATAAAAGAAAAAGAAAGTAGAAAATAATTTACCTCAGTTTGTAGTTGCAGTTACAGTGGAGGTCTATGGGGTAAATAAATGTATAC